CTCAGCCTCTCCTCATGGCACTTTGTGCTATCGTTAGATTGAGCACCTCCAGGCAAACCTGTTGAGTGTGCCTAGACTAGAGGGAGGCCCAGAGCGTTGAAATTGTTGCATAAAAGCCTTTATATCTGCTTTGGATATAAACAAGAATATTTTTGAGGTTATTTCAGTATTTATTTATTTATTTATTTTTGTTGTTGTTATCTGACCACCGTTCTGTATCTTACAGGTATCTCTGCTCCCAGAAAATGACAGATGGAGTGAAACGAGATCCCAGTTGCTTGCACAGATGGATGTCTGTATGGGAGGAAGAGTAGCAGAAGAGCTCATATTTGGAAGTGATCACATCACAACAGGTCAGCTGATCAGTAGGTAAAAGGTTTTGATCAAGGCTGTGGACTGGCATGTTTGACTTGGTTTACTTTTTTGATGTTTGATCTGTTTACTTTCTAGGTGCTTCCAGTGATTTTGACAACGCTACTAGAATTGCAAAGCTGATGGTGACTAGATTTGGAATGAGTGAGAAGGTAGTGTCATCAATCCTTTAACATTTATATGGAACAAAGAAGTGTTCTGTTCTGTAACTAAAGCCTATTTGGCTGTCAGTGATCACTGAGACCAAGTAGTTTTGACAAAAAACCTAAGCCTTATGACCTGGCTGGCTATAGAGCTCAGCTATAAGGTCTTTGTATTTGACAGGTTAAAAATTACCTTGAAAGCTGCTAATGTCTTCAGAAAATACTTATTGTAGAGCCAAACATTTTGGAATTGAGGATAATCTTGGGTTTGGGAGGAGGGCAGGCAACATTGGGTTTTCAAAACATTTTTTAGAAGCTTCTTTAGTCATGTTTATTGCCCATCAAGTGTTAGTAGTATGGGGATTTTGTTTTGGTTTCTAAGTAAGAAAACGCTTACTCAGGATCTGTACTGTGAGCCAGTGAAATAGAATTCTGCAGCATCTACATAGTTATCAACAGGCTTCTTGTTTTGCTTCTGCTAAAAGCACTTCAGCGAGCATTTGACTCCTGGTTTTATTTGTGTGCATGTAGAAGCTCATACAGTGTTTTATATGTATTGCAACAGTGGCAAATAAATGTTGTTTTTGTTGTTTAGCTTGGTGTTATGACCTACACTGATACAGGGAAAGTTAGTCCTGAAACTCAGTCTGCAATTGAACAGGAAGTAAGAACACTTCTGCGGGTAAGAGTCTCTCCCCCTCCACTCTGATATATTTATTTTGAGATGAGTTGAACACCTGCTTGCTTGATTATTCATTTTACTAATGTATACTGGTGAAAATACACAGGTGAATGAAAGTATTCCCAAGTATGTAATGTAGCTGCAACTTCGAATCTCTGCATATAAAAACCTTTAGGTGATGGTCATGCACAAATAGTGTGAATCAAGTTGGTAGTGTTGGGTTTTAATATACTCTTTAACACTACCTCTGCCATTTGGCCAGGATTTGTATTTTGCCTATTCAATTTATAGGAAAAAGGTATGTGTATAAATTGTTTTAGAATAGATGTGAATATTTTATGTTACTTTCAGGATAAATAATTTGTATGGAATCACAGGAATGGTTGTATTGGATCAGATTGTTGTCTTGAGTATCTTGTTCCTCACAGGGATCAGTGTCAGGTGCTTAGGGAAATGTACAGCATTTGATAATCACTGAACTTCCAGATCACTTTTCTGGTAATTTGAATTAGTTTGGTACAGGCAGGAAAATTATTTATATTGTAATATTTAAACGATTGACACTTTTTTGCTGTAGTTGGTTTTGAACTGACTTAGTCATGAGAGAAATAGCAATGTAGAACTAGAAGTTGAAGCTGGTAATGCTTGCAGTGTACATCTACTTGGAGCAGCTGGTTACTTTCACTAGCTGGTAGCTTTCAGCCTTCTGAAAGTACGTAATACTTCAACTTTTATAAGCTTTTAAAAATGCTAGTCTTTGAGGGATGTTCTTTGAATGCTGCAGCACTGTTCATGATGCAAACAAATTCTTACAAGTATCAGGACACATCTGAATCTAGTAAGTCTTTTCAAAGTCATATGTAAAAATACTAAGGTTTGTATCAGGACTTTATTTTTAGTCCTGCTTGTGCAAAAAGCAAAGGTGGCAGAAAGTGGTTGTTTTTTGTTAACTGTGGCAGCTAGGTTTTAAAGCTTTGTCAGTTGGGAGCTGTGCATGCTATGAAATATTAGGCACAACTTTAAATGTTTGTTTCATGCTGTATAAAGTGGAATCTTGCTGTTGTTCTAAAGTGTTAAAATCTCCTTTTATCTGTTTTTAATGTTAGGAGTCATATGAGCGAGCCAAGAACATCCTGAAGACTCATGCAAAAGAACACAAGAATTTAGCAGAAGCTTTATTGAAGTATGAGACTTTGGATGCCAAAGAAATCCAGATTGTTCTAGAGGGGAAAAAACTAGAAGTAAGATGATAACTTCTGGGATATGTAACTGATAATTTGAAGAATGTACATCTAGCAATGCAGTAGTCTTACTCAGCGTAGCCTTTTTTTCCCTTCCTGATGTGTGTATGGCATTAGTGTCACTTAAAATTAATCTGTCTCCTGTGAGCTTCTGTTACTCATCTGTTTGTTGTGTCTCATCAGAATAAGACACAAAATAAAGTAAGTTCCTCATCCTTTGCTCCCTATACTCTTCGCACAAGAAATTTATTCAGAAGGATAAATCTCAGGGTTGAATTCAGCATTTTGGTTCAAGCAGATGTGTTGAAGCTGAGAAGAAGGACATGCAGATGCACTGATGTGTTTCTGCACAGCTTCCTGGGTCGTGCTGCTACATGTGGGTTGGAGGTGGGTACCCCACAGTATCTGCTGTGGAATGTTTTATGGAGTGTGAGAGATTGAGATGTGAAGCAGTAGTATGTAGTGTAACTATCGCTCGTACTCTGAGGTTAGAGACCACCATTAAAGACTTCTTATTTAGAAGTGTAACAAAGCATTTTTAAGAATGAAGCAGCTACATTGTGGGAGCTCCATGTTAGACAAAAGCAGTGGTTGTGTTTCCAGTACTCCTGGGGTTAAAATACACACGTGTATGGCTGGGAGAGAAATTTGAATGCAAAACCAACAGACTAAACATGTCTAAGGCTCTTCGGACCATGTTTTGGGCAGAACCATGGCAGGGACAAGCAAAATACCTATGATCTCTGATGTGCTGCTGACAAGATGTTAAAAATTTTTATTCCTGCAGTAGGTGGATGGCAGTGCTTTGATGACAGTGCTTTTACACTGCTGGGCATTCTGCAGAACTTGTTTCTACTAATACTATGTATGGGCGTTCGATGATCCAACAGATAATTTCTTCAAAGAGGGTGATATTGCTCACTAAAGAGTAGTTCAGAAAATGTTTGAAGCATGTGTTGCTTCAAATAACATTCCCACTTCTGTTCTATGGTAGAAGTAGGAAAATAAAACCTTTTCTTTCAACCCTTACAGAAACCTCTGGAAATTCTAAGAAAATGAGAAAAAGGTTTTGAAAACAAGAGCAGTTTCCAATCAAGTGAAGTGATGGCTAGCAATTATAGGCCAGTATTTATCTGATCTCATGGAACTGGTATTTAGGAAAAACACATTTTGATTATAATCTTTCTGCACAATTAATTACAGCCTTGTGGGACTATAAGCTTCTGTTGCAGAGAGAGCCTGTATTAGCATATTAATCTTGAAGGTTACCATACTTTGACATTAAAATAGTTGGGCTGGTGCCAATAAATGCAAATGGAAACTGGTAGCTACACCTAAAACTAGAAGTAAGGTAGTATTTTAGAATTTTCTGAGTGTAATGCTTGATTATAACCTAGGTTTTTTTTTTTTTTTTTTAGTAAGAGCACATGCTTTTTTTTTTTTTTTCCATTTCCCTTTCAAAACCAGATTAACTTTCTTTTTGCCTATTTTTGTCAGCTTACTATAGTGATGTCCCAGTCAGTGTGGGGGAACTTCCAAATGTTATGAAACAGTATAGGAAATGCCTAGGCTGACTAGTTACAGTTGTACATGTATTTTAGGAATATGCCAACAGAAACAGAAATATACTGCATATTTAGCATCTGTTTTTGGAATAATAAAGGTTAATTTTAATTATGCATATTGGTTTTCTTTTTATTCACTGTAAATTGCTATAAAATGTAATACCAAGTTCCCTCTTATGTAAATTGAGGTGTATAGAACATTTAAAGTTGTAAATAAATTTAAGAATTATAGCAAAATTGCATTCTTTCTAATGAGATTTCTAGGGAATGTTCCCCCTAGAAATTTAGACCTTTTATTCAATTGCTGCTTCAGTATTGGGACTTGAAAGGGAACATTTCCAGCTCAATGATGTGAATCTGCATTTAGAAACAAAAGCAAAAATCTTTCCGTGTTTGAAGTCACTAAAATCTATATTCGGTGGATCTGATTTGGGAGGTAAGTCCTTGAAGTCCAACTTACTTCTCTCATTCAAAACCTTCTTACTATATGCATAGAAGTAGGATCGTCTCAAAAAAAAGTGATAGCTCATTGAGTCATGAAAGATTGTTACTGTTTACACTTCATGGCTAGTCTTGTTTCTTTGCTTTCTGGCCAACTTAACAGCAGAGGTGTTACTGAAGAGTTTACTGTAAATTCCCAGTTGGTTGTGTGCATGTGGTATTTGTGGGGTTTCAAAGAAACTTACCTGTTTAGGCATCATGTTTGACCATGGTGGTGGTGCCTCTGGGGCAACACTTAAGAAGGGGAAGAAGTTACTGTGCAAGAGCAGTTGTAGCCAGAGGAGTAGTGTGAGTAAGTGGAAAAAAAACCCAGCTCTGCAGAGAACAAGGTCGGAGAAGGAGGGGGAAATGGTGCTCCAGGTGCCAGAGCTGAGCTTCCCCTGCAGCCTGCATTGTAGACCATGGTCAGGCAGGCTGTGCTGTGCCTCTGTGGCCCATGGAGGTCCCTGGAGCAGATACCCAGCTGCAGCCTGTGAAGGGCCTCACACCAGAGCCAGGTGGATGCTCCAAGGAAGCTGTGCACTAGAGCAGCTCCTGGCAGGACCTGCTGGCAGGACTTGTGACCCTATGGGGGACTCACACTGGAGCAGTCTGTTCCTGAAGGACTGCAGCCTGTGGAAGGGGCCTATGCTAGAGCAGTTCCTGAAGACCTACAGCCCATGGGAAGGACCCATATTGGAGAATGTCGTGGAGAGCTGTCTCCTGTGGGAGAGACCCCATCCTGGAGCAGAGTGTCAGGAGTTCTCCCCCTGAGGGGGAAGGAACAGCAGAGATGTGATGAACTGACTGCAGCCCCCATTCTCTGTCCCCCCACCCCGTGTGCTTGGGGGGGAGGAGGTAAATAAAAGTGAAAGTGAAGTTGAAATCAGGAAGAAGGGAGGGTGAGGAAAAGGTGTTTTTAGGAATTGGTTTTATTTTATTTATATTTAATTGGCAATAAACTAATTTCCCCAAGTCAAGTCTGGTTTGTCTGTGACAGTAAGTGGTGAGCGATCTCTCCAGTGAGCTTTTTTGTCCCATGCCTAGCTGAGGCATGATAGAGCAGCTTTGGTGGGCACCTGGTGTCCAGCCAGAGTCAACCCACCACAACCACAAAGGCTTCACTCAGAGGGTGAGAATAACAATTCCCTTTGAGTACACAGCCTCCTGCTGTTGAAAACAGGCACAGCTGGGAGCTTAGATGGACTGTTTGCTTTTTAAAAAACCCTACACTGCTCACAAGCATGGTGGCACATCAAATAAGAAATTCAGACTTGCCATGATTCTGAATTTTCTCCATCCCTGAGGCTGGCATGCCTGAATTCTGCCATCAAGCTTAATACAAACAAAATGCAAACTTCCAGTGAAAGATGAGGTCTCCTCTTTCTGGCTGCTTCCTACTCTGTGATGACCTGAGTCAGCTGAAATATCAGAGCAGTTTTCTAAATCTTGATCCCACAAACTGTGAAATTAGACCAATTAAACTGTTCTGCTCTCTTGATCTGCTTGGAAACCTTTACTAGAAGTAATGTGAGCCATTTTTCTCAAAAACATCAAAAAACAGGACAAAAGGTTGAGTCTACTCACTTCAAATAAGCCCCTCATTGTTGCCCTCAGAAATAGATTTCTGTTCTCTTTATCCTAAGAGCATAATTCCCATTCTATTGTACATTATGAGACCTTCCTCTGGTATTGGCCAACATGAGTGCATCATCTGCTCCTTGCACAGCTTTGTCACACAGAAATGGCTGCATCATTTACGATATTAAAAGCACTAACATGGACAATAAAACATTTAATGGGAGAAGGGGTGATTCTGGTCCATGGGGTTGGGGATTTCTTGTTTTCTTAACTCTAGCTTTGTGGTTAGTGCCCTGTCCTGGAAATCTAATGCTGCTGGCTGTAATTCTGAGATTCAGTGATGTGCCATATGGGCTGTAGTAGCACTAGATTTTGACTTTGAACTCAGAAACAGATTTCTTATAAAATTAATATGAGTTTTCAGTCTTTGACTACAGTTTCAGGAACTGTTTCTCCTTCTAGGACAAAACTTGCTCTTGAACTCTGGAGCATTGCAAGACCAATGTTTTTTAATAAACATTTGCCCATTATTACAGAGCTACTTTCACAGTAGAATGTTCAGCTGCCTTAGTGCTGAAACAGCTCACCCAAATTTGGTTTGAGTATCTTTCCAAGTAGAAAGACTCCACAGAAAAACTGGAATGAGAAGGAAACCTAACATTCTTTGGCTATAGAAATTTGGATGAAAGTTCAGAATACCTTTTGCTAAGAATATAAGAATTCTCAGGCTGTCATAGGTACAGGAGGCATGTGGTAGGGTGATTGGTGGTTTTATTTGTTTCAATCTCCATAAAGCAAAAAAGCCAAATCAATCTCCAAAACTCTCTAGGAGCTAGGGATAAAAGCAGACATTGAAAGACGCATCAGCTGAAATGCACTTACAGTTTTATGCACGTTAAGTACTCTACAAAAACAGCTTTGTGCTTAATTTTATTTTGCTTTACAAAGTGATCTATGATGTTTCTTAATGATGAATGTTGAGTGTAGTCATTACTTTTGAGACCACAGAGTTATTAAGGTTGGAAAAGACCTCCAGGATCATCAAGTCCAACCATTAACTCAGCATCACCATGTACACCACCAAACTGTGTCCCTCAGTGCCACATCCTCATATTTTTTTCAACATTTCCAGGGATGGCGACTCTGCTACTTCCTTGGGCAGCCTGTTCCGATGCTCGACCACCTTTCAGTGAAGACACTTTTCCTAATATCCAATCTCACCAGCATCTCTCTAAATCTGAGCAACTAACACAAAGTAGTATTCATATATTCACAGCAAAGTTTCAGGTGAACTCCATGTGGTCTCTGACACACTTTTTTTTTCCAATCAGAGAAAGTGTGCTAAGAATCCAAAGATTTTGATGAGGTTTTGGGATTTGATTTTTAACTTCCTTTTTTGGAGGAACTTGGTTAATAACAGGTTTTAGACAGAAAGTTGCCCATGTTCTTGCCTGTAGACTCTGATTGACAGCTCCAAAAATTAGTATCAGTATTTCCACTTTGTCCTAGAAGTTAATCATCGATTTCTGAATGACTTGCTTTTTGGGGAAAAATTGTTTTTCAGCTCAGTGTTGGGCTGAGTTACCGCATCAAGGTAAACAAGCAGGAGTGCAAGCCAGTGGGAGTTACTCTTCCCTGCTGTGGACACTGCCTGACAAACCTGTAACGTAGCTCGTTAAGCTGATGCTATAGTCAGTGTTTATAATAACTTTAATACATTCAGTAAACACAAAAAATATTTAACAACATTAAGATGTCGAGTCAAGCACACAAAAAACCCCGAGAAATGCAAATGCAATCTGAATCTGCAAGTTTTCATGTATTTTGTCGTTTTTCTTGCCTGGCATTTCTGAAGCCTTTGCTTCCCTGTTGTATTAATTTTTCTGTCCTTCATTTTCTTCATTTCTTATGTTCCCTGAAAGTCACTGTATTTTAATCAACGTATAATATATATCAAATATATTACATTTACCTTAGTCACGAAGAATCTTTATAATTTCTCAAGCTAAGCTCTAGCTTTTTAGATTTGGTATTGTGAGGTGATCCACCAAGGTTTCCAAAAAATGTTAAAAACACTGGAATAAAAACAAGACCATGAAGAGATCCAAACAAAATGACAAGGAACATGATCTTGAAAAAGGTCCTAAAGATGTAGGCTTTTGCTGCAGCCAGGACAACTACTCCTAATATAGTAGAAAATGCACCTTGTAATACTGGGTAACCTAGCACGGAGAGAGCTTTGACTGCCCTTTTATTGGCTGATGACTCTCCACTCGTAACAAAGGCATAGGAAATATGAGCAGAAAAATCCACTGAAAACCCTATACAAATGACCAGGTTGATCATGGATATGGAATCAAGATTGACATTCCAAAATGCCATGAAACCAGCAACACCCACTATAACAGAAGCTATAGCAAAAGTCACCCACAAGCAACATAACGGGTTGGGAATGAGCAGAAGGGAGACAACGAGCATCGCCCCAGCAGCAACGGCAACGTTCTGGACCGTGTTCTGCACTATTACCAGGTACTGGTCGTAGTAGATGAATGCTGGGTGATACACCATCAGTGGAATACTGCACTGCTTGGCTCTCTCTCTCAACTGATTGAGGAGATTCTTCTCATCAACGGCTGAGGTCACGTTCACCGTCTGGATGAAGAAACGTGAAGCTTCTATTTCATCCTGAGTCTTGTTTATGTCCCACTCAAAACTGGGAGCCATGCTGAACAGTGCAGACAAGTTACTGAAGAAGTCAGTCTTACTGTCTATATTTATTGGAACATTTTCGGCAAGTTGTGTGTATGCTCTCAGCCATGACTCTGAGTAGTTCTCATCTACATAGGAAATATTCTCTAAATTCTCTGCACAGCTCTCAATGTCACGACGAACTGTCTTATTCCAGTAATCTACACTTTCAGTAATGACAACCATGACCCTGGGTCCATATTCTGAGAAGTATTTCTCATCATCATCATAGTATGGAACAACATAAGAGTCATCATTTGCCAGATTTCGAAGATCAATGCCTTCCCTGATCTGAGTACATCCATAAACACTCCCACCCAAGTATGCTCCATAGAGCAACACCACGAGTAGCTTAACCCAGGTATTTGTCAAGAAAGGGCCATAATACTTTTTAAAGAATATGCTCATTGGATGTTCATCTGCTGGTTGAGATGACTGCCCAGAACAGCTGCCGATACAGCAAACGTTGTACAAGCAGGAGTTCTCAGCCTGATCTTCACCTACTCTCACACGCGTACAAGTTAGCCAGTGTCGGTTTCCTTGCTCCCTTTTGTGATTTAATACAAGAACTGCCCCAAAGAAGGTCATGGTATATACATAGCAGAAGACAAAAGCAGTGCCCGTATAGAGGCAAAAAGATCTCACAGATGGAAAAGCAGTCCAGGTGCCAATGAAGAAGGCCAAAACATCTGTGAGAGTGGTGATGGTCACAGAAAGTGCTGCCTCCGCATAAGTCTCAGCCAACAGAGACTGAACGTTGGATTTCTCTTTTTTCCTTGAGATTTGTTCCCAGGAAGCGATCATGATGAACATGTCATCAACACCAACTCCTGCAAGAGGAGAAAAAGTTAACTCTGCATTGCAAATGGAAGCTTCCACTAGCACCCAACAAAACGACATTGATGTCTCTGCATAAAATTCTGAAAACTTCATTGCTTTAGTACTGACGCGAGTTACCAGAGAATCTAAAAAGCAGATCCTTTGTGTGCAGCTGAATGTATTACCTTCCAGCAACTCCTGGTGAGCCGAAGCGTTGCTGATCCCTCACCTTACTCTGCTGAAAGACTGAGCACACCTACTCCATATATGATAAGTGTCTCCTGTCTGCTATTCGTGTATCCATTGATGTAGATGACACAAATTTCAAAGCATCATGTATTCTGGTGCTTAACTCTCCCTTTCACTGGAAGCATCTCCCACAATCGCTGGAATCTTTTCCTCATCACTGCAGCAACTTAGATCAACAATTTCTTGCTCTGCCTTAAGCAGACAGGCAGAGCAGTTGCTATCACATGGGAGTACAGTGATCCTGGTTTCCCAGTGCCTCACTTTCTTATGCTCTCTGCTCTCCATTTCTCCCCAGTTTATCTTTCAGCACTTATTCATGATTTATTATTCATTTATCATCACATTTATACTGATGCACTCACAAACATTACCCACCAGAGTTCTGGGAAACCCTGAAAGGAAGACTGGATTCTGGGCTTGGGTTTTTGCTGACATGAGCATAAGTGAGCCGAAGTTCAAAAAAGGAAGAGCTCTGCTAACTCTCAAGATTTTAATCACAGACCTTTCAGTATTTTGCCAGTGTTGTCAAGGGCTCTTCTATTCCCTGACTATTAACCATAAGAAAAGGGAAAGCAAGACTGCATGAACAGAGGAGTGAGCATAGACCATTTAGCCGAGCATAGACCATTTAGCCCAGCATAGAAGAACAGGTGAAATCACTACCTGCTGCTTGAGCAGGCAATTGCCAGTAGACATACAAAGATGAATTAAGCAGCACATGCAGCAAGCCAGGCTGCTTCCACAAAGCAGGCAGATTTCAAAGAAAATCATGTGATGTACTGAGAATTTGCTTTACTGCAAGGAAGACAAAATGCGTGTTGTTCCTGAAGATCTGAAGAGTGGCTTTAGCCTTTTCTCAGGTATACAGAAAAGTCTTTCTGATATTCAAAGCTGCTGCAAATGATGAGCAAACAAAAGCAAATACAAAATGCATTGGAATTATGCAGGAAACAATGAAACGATGTGCGCCCTAAGGAACATTTGCATTAGACGTTATCTAACAGTATCTTTCCTCAACATTATCTAACAGTATTTGGAAAGTTCAGCCCTGACTGTAAAGCAGTGTGTGCAACAGTGATGCAATGACACCAACTTCCTTGGGTTTTTGGGGGAGCTGCTTGCACAAACAGTGTATCCCTTCAGTTGTGTAGCTGAATGAGACTGGTTAGTACATAGCCATTATATAGAGGAGTAATCATCGTGGCTACATTACCAGGGACACCAGAACAATGCTGGAAGTGCTAACCTTACTTCTCTCTCATTTACAGTTTTCACACCATAGCAGTGGAACTACAGCAAGCATTGTTTTCTGGGAAAAGCTGCCCTTGCACTAGAATCCGGCTCCAGTCCCAGTGTGAGCATGCTGAGCTGAGCTGAGGGACTCACCTGACTGTAGGAGCACAGAGGAGGCTCTGGGTATCTCCTCCTCTACTGCAACACAGAACTGTGTATGATCTGACACACATCATAAAAGACTGACACCATTTGGTTGGTTTAACTTTGCTTTAGTCTTTGTATCTGAACCAACTCACTTTTCCTACTTACCCAGAATCAGGAACGGAGCATTTGTTACAGTGACCACAAATGGCACTCCACAGAAGAGCATCAATCCAAAGCTGCTTAATACAGCTAAGCCAGCAGAAACCACTCCACAGCTTGCAAGCCAGACATTATTTCTTATGCAGCTCAGCCTGAAAATATTTCAAGGAATATCTTAGTTACATGTCAAGTATCTTACCAAGGTGTTTGGCATGACAAGTGCACAGAGAGACACCAATGAAACCCTGTCTGAGAAGATGGCAAAATGAAGATATGTAAACTCTGCCAGTGAGGCTACCAGTGGGTGACCCCCAAAAGTGATGGCTTTTTAGAAGTTCTTAGCTTTTGCACAGGTTCTTGGAATAGCATGTCAGTGTAAAAGGGAAGCACCTGCTAGGCAGTAAGTGCTATGTACAGAAGCTTTCCCAGCAGCCAGATTGGCTACCAGCCTCTTGTCAGGATGGAGGCCCACACTGGCTCAAAGAATGCCCAAGAAATGCTCTAATGGGCATGATGCAAGAGCTAAACCAGGCAGCCCACACTGCAAGTAGAACTCTTTTCCTCAAGTACAGCACACAAACAGTGCTGTATGGTTGTCGGATGTACAATGGTTCACCTTCCATCAGCACAAAGAACGGGCAGGGCTAAGTTCTCTGTGGACAGCAAGTAAAACTCTGACTCTACTTGCAAGCAGGACAGCTAAAGCTGTGCCCAGACTTGCAGTAATCCATGAAGCCACCTGAACGTTAACTAAGCACCGAGCACTTGTTGAGGTATTCATCTGGTACTTATCATGTAGCCATCTAAGCAGCTGGGAAATACGCATAGGTAGATGAGAAAGAGCAAAGAAATACATTTTGACTATTGTTAAATGTCACGGGAAGTCTGCAGCTTCAAGAATGCCATCACTCAACAAAAGCAGAAGCCAACTGAGGCAGGTAAAGAGGCGAGGAGGTCACTGATCATTGAGCCGTAGCTTAGAAGACATTTTACCTTAGGCAAGAGACAATTGCAAAGGTTATCGTCAAGAAATACGTTATGGAGAAGAGCGGCACCACGCTCTCGGTATTTCTTTCAAACTCCTGTTGTCTGGACAGCGAGGTAAAGTAAGTAAAACAACAACGGAAGAAACGATGAAGCAAATCTCTTCTTGGTCTCCGGACACACGCACAGAGACAAGGCTAAACATCACACGGGCACCAGAGCATTGCCGTGCTCCTCGCGACCCGCAGGCTGCTGCCTTCCCCCGCTCCGCGGTGGAGCTGCCCGGGCGTCCCGGGCTCTGCAGCCCCGCACGGCTCTGCCCCGGCCCCGCGTTACCTGAAT